GTTTTCATCTCGTCACCGAGCCTGCTGGTGAGAATGTTGGACTTAAGAATGGCAGGAATTCAACAAAGTGCAGTCGTCTTTAGTTAATGGGTGCTCCCACAGCATTCTGTTGTATCATCTAATGGTATTTTCAGCAGGTTAAAATGGACATATTATGACATCTAGGTTAGATATGACTATATTTCTCCTTAAAAGTTTGATGTTCAACATGTGAGTTCACTTCAGAGCATCTGAAGGCCGACCATCTGCCTTACCTTTTGTTTTGTTTTTCCACTGACTCCGTCCTTCTCGGCTGTAAATGGCCTGGTCATGTCATGCTTCACAGAAAACTGGGAGTTGCATTGAGCTGAGGGTAAGCAGGGGGAATTCTGCTTCCCTGCTCTACTTGGCGCTGGCCTGTAACAAAGCCTGATGTCAGACAGATCACAGCCAGGAAGACTGGCCCTTTTCCCTTAGTGTTGGAAAGGAAAAAAATATTTTACTCAGACAAGTTTTTCTGTGCCTTCAAACATTTGGATCTATTTTGGATTTTCATACACATGATCCCACTTTTCCCCCACGTTTTCAAGTGAAACTGGGATCCTGCCATTTGCCACATGAGAGCAGAGGGACATTATATTGCTACAATGAGGCAGTCTTTTGAAAGGTAGTGAAAGCTGCTAATGGGACTTTCTACATCAGATTTCGCAAGAAACTGTATGACTGCCCCAAATGTTAATATTTGTATTTGGCCTAAACACTTTACCAATACAGAATATGTTCCAGAAGTGCAGAAACCCAGAGCAGAGTAGAATTGTACGCCTACAGCTTAACATTTATCATAGTTAACTTTATAGCATTTGTTCAGAATTCCCCCCAATCAGAGTGTCTGAGTTTATTGAGACACGCTGGAGCATGTGACTGAGAAGTCACTGTACACATTGATCCACTCTGTACCCAAGCGACGTAACAAGGCCTGCAGAGTCATTTCAGATACAATGGTTATTCATTCGTATTATTATGGTATGGTCTCAATGGAGTTGACAAGTCCTTTCTTCAGTACTTTTGTGTAAACATAATATGCACTGATTTTTCCGGAAAACCATGATCACAGAATCTCTTAATCGCTGTTATTAAATTCTTTTTAATGAGACGTTTGAAAAGCATTCTGGTCTGCAGAGACACTGCTGTCTGATGATTTTTTCTTTTCTTTTTTTTTAAATGATGAGGAAATGTCTGGGTGGGAATATTAACCAATGGAAAGTAGACATAGTTTGGGGCAGTAATGTAACTGAAAGATGCCATCTGGTGTTTAAACTAAGAAAGGAAGCGTCTTATGAACTGGAGGTCATTTAAAAAAAAGAGGTTTTTTTTTGGTATCACGGAATGCATTTTCTGTATGTAGGTTTACCCATACATTAATTTGTGTTGTACATCAGGCCCCTCCCCAGAAAAATTCTATCGAATCACTATGGAGACTGCTGCTGAAGGGACAGGCTAGAGTGGTCCCTGGTATTGCCAGTGTCACCTTGGACTGTCCTGCTGTAATTAACCACCAGCTAAGATACAGTAGGTCGTGAGGTGCATTTCTTATATTTAGTGGCCTGTAATGAAGTCATACACTAAACGCATGCCCTCAAAGCCCTCAAACATCCGTGTGTCTGCTGCTAAGGTTGATGTCCTCCCAGAGAGAGACAAAGCAGAAACTTTTTCACACTTACATTAGACAGTCTTTCCCTCATCTTGGCCTGTACTGTAGTCACATAATCAAGCCGGTCTTTTCTTCTTCTTCCAAGATTTGATCAAAGTGTCCCGTGCGTGACTTCATCTCCATGCCCGTGTTTCATTTCCATAATCACCTTACAACTTTTCACAGACGTTACATGTGCGCCCCTGTGTCATGATCAATACAACACAATGTTACATTTGCATATGAAAGCTGGAATGTTCTCTCCACAGCTCATCTGCAAAATGGGCTGTTTGACATTCAGACAGGTTCTCTCTTTCTAGGTCAAACCCAGCACCAACCTGCAAACCAGACCACCCTCTTTGCTGTTGATTGATTAGGGCTGCATCTCCAATTCATCAAGCTCGCTGCAGATGATGTATCTCAGAAACCCCTCCTGTTATTGTCTTCAGATGTAAACACAATTAATAAAATTTTTCCTCATCACTTATAGAATTTGTAATAAAAAGTCAGTTTAGTTAGTTTGCAACATCCATAAATGGAGGATTATTATTTTAGCATGCATGTCTGTTTTTTAAGCTGATTCTTTCAGATTTAACACAAATTTGTACTGTGTCTCAGTAAAATAACAAAACAAAAACTACAAAATAAAAAGTTTTGATTGTAGGAAGAATTAATAACATCAGTTAGCCAATATTCAAGGTTGATTTAAGGTGGTTTTGGGCTCCTGCCTGTGTTGTCGTACCGCAAAGCAAATGTACAGAGTGAGGCTGGAAATACCATGCCAGTCTAATAGGGGGCAGTGGCGTTCGGTGAGGTTCATAACTGACAGTGCTGAGCCCCATAGGCATTATGGGTAACGTATGCTCATTGCTGCCGTCTCTTCTTCTACTCTGAAGATAGGGTTGTGTCGCTGAAAGCGTGTACCTGTCTTTTATATACATTGTATGGTATATGGCTTTTCTAACAAAATGGATAATTGTATTTTAAAAGTAACTAATTTTACCAATCGAAACAGGAGGCTTTAGACCGAGGAGAAACAACTCTGTAAGACCTGCTCCAAAGTGGGAGAAAGGTAACTGAAAAATAACAAAACATGCTCATCAGGGTATTAAGTTTATCTCAATTTGAAATAAATAGAAAACGTGTTGGAATAATGTTTAAGATGTTATGATAAGGCTAAGAGCCAGGTTTTATTTATTCAGTTAATACATCTGTCTTAGAACATTTTGACTCCCCCCTACATGGCTTGACAAAGTTCAAACACACTCTAATTTCTACTGTGACAGCAGCACTGACCTCAGTGAAGTTTACTGTACCTCCTGTTGTATCACATTCAATCTCACTGTGGTTGTTTTGGAGTCTGGCTGTCTACACTCGGGGCATGTGTGGTCCCGAAAAGCCAAATAGTGGCATCCTTGTGTTGATCCATGGTTCCTCTCTCTGATGCCAACTCGCTGTCAGTTCAGCAGAGCCTTGTCGGAGGATTGTCCCTCGGGTAATGCATTTTAAATTAAGGGGCGCAACCCCTGTCCACTTTCCTTTCCATGCCTCATTTACTTCCCACTGATTGATAAATGGTGAGCTGTGGCTGGCATGCTGGGCGGGTGCCTGGTGGAATTAGACACATGATATAGCCGACCGGAGGCTCATCACTGGGAGGGATCGAATCAACCTTCAAGATTGTCTAGAGTTTAACTGGGTGATGCAGAAGTCGTGGGTTTCATCTTCATCTCTAAAAATCAGATACAAAGTTGTTTATTACACAAACCATAGCATACATACAGTACATTTTCTTTGTTTCCATCAACAATAATAATAATAAAAAAAACATTGAGTTTTCCCCCTGAATTAGCTGTTAGCTCTCTCTCTTTCTACTATTGGCTCTAAACGAACTGAAAAGTAAGCAATAAATGACATCTGGTTGTACGCAAAATCTCGTCCTGTACCTACGTACTCTCCGCGGCAATTACTCAGACCTACACACCCTCACCGCAGTGGATTGTCCATGGTGGGCAGATGTTTAGCTTGTGTGTCCAATTGAGAGCGCAGACCTAATTAAGACTCAAGAAACACATAATTTTAGCTGGCTTTTTCCACTCTTTGTCCTCGCTTTGATCCAATGATTATTACCAGCTCCTTGGCTCTGCTGAAGGGTTGAGGGCGGGGAGGCATGGTGTCTCATGCTGACTGTTCCCAAACAAAATACCCCCCTCCTCGTCCCCAGGTTGTTACAGCTGACACTCCCAGCTGGGTTGTCAGCGATGAGGTCAGTAAGAGAATCCAGCTGCCTGCCTGGGGTTCGTTGCTCTGCTGTGCATTGGCCTGAGTCAACCCTCTGCTGGTTATCCTGTAGTGTAATACAGTACATGCGTGCACCACATGTACATTGCGGAGACTGTTAAAGCCTCATTTGTGCTGCAGCGAACACAAATAAAACATTAACTTGTTTGTTAATCTCCCTTTGCCCCCCGACCCCCATCTCTCTCTCTCTCTCTCTCTCTCTCTCTCTCTCTCTGCTGCTGCTGTTTCATTGCCGCCCCAGCCCTTAGCATCCAGTGTCTGTCCATTAGGTGAAGCTTCACACCACTGTCAGGGCCAGATTTGTCTCAACTTAGGTACTATAGGGATCTTTATTTTTACATTTTGGCTTTAATATTTTTAATTATTTTTTAAATATTTTTATTTTTTATTTTTCAAAAGGAGATGTAGTAATGTTTGACAGAAATGTGCTTTTATTTCATTTTATTTGGGCACTGATTACATATAGTTGGGGAGCCCTGGCATAGACCATTAGAAATTACATTTATTGGGGAGTTTTTGTGTCATGAAAACCAACAACTTGTGAGCTGCGTTGACAAACATTTTAATACAGGTTATGAAACTTTAGGGTTATTGTTTCTGACAGTGGTGAAATGCTCTGATATTTAGCATTGAGTCATCCACCCTGCTGGTTTACAACCAAACACTGTGTCCTTGTTTTATGCGTGCTCTATGTTTCATATCGCAAAGACATCCACTGGTGCAAATCTTCAGGAATCACTTCATAATGTTTATCATATTACATGAAATAAATCATGAATAGGTATTGAATGCTTTATGACAGATGTTGGTGATGTGAAAGTGTTTTTCTCCACCAGCTCTTTCCTCCTGTGTCTGTTTCAGCAGCTAAGTCCAGTTCATGTTCTTCTGTACCTTTTAAATCAAAACCTGCTCTGGTACAGTTCTTTTGTAGAACGATTAAATATTTCATGAAACTCTGTCCTATCCTCCTATAGGATCTCTGCAGCATCACTCCTTAATATGTGTTGTTTTTGCCTTTTCTTCTTTCTAGGGGGCTTTTTGCGAGAAACTACACAGAAACCCATTACCTGGAGGATGGCAGTGCAGTCACAGACTTTCACAACTTCACGGTATGCCTGGAGCCTGCTGAGCTTTTCTCAAAGATGACACTGAAGAACTCACCATCCTTACTTTCTCGCTGTTTTCGTCTTCATTCCTACACCTAATAACCGTTATGAGTGCTGACCTTTTGTGGTACCCGTCGTCACCACGTCTGGTTCTACTTCATTGTGCTCCCATTAGGAGGTCGACTAGGGTATAAAGAAAAATTGATGTTGCCGTTAGACTCACTTAAAAACCGTCTGGAATTGGGCAGCTTCACATTTGAAGCAGCTGCTGTAGGTGAGTGAGCCCATTTCAGTTCTCTGGCAGCAGATTCATATTTGATAGAATATAAGGCGCACAGAAGTAGAGAGAATAGACTCAATTCTAGGAACGGTGGGATTCCTTTATATAAGCTTAAAATCAATTTTCTAAAACAGGTCCGAGTGCACGCCCCTTTTTCGTTGTTTTTCATTTACTACAGGATTCTTTTCTAGTTTCAAAAATATTTTTTCTATTCCAGTTACAGCTTTTATTGTGGGATTTTTGCAAAGTATTCCGTGTCTGCATGTGTAGTGTCTGCATGTGAAAAACTGTTTGATTGTTAATGCACCGCATTTTTCCATTTGTAAGATTGTAATAAATGCAGAAAGGAACAGCTTATTAGGTTTAAAGCACGATAAGTCTCATAAAGAATCCATAAATCCCTCCCCTGTAAGGATGTTTGTTTTGGTTCAGACACAGGGAGACCATTAGCAAAATCTGTATGCTGCCTGCTCTAGTTAATGACTATGATGTCCTGGATCATATGGAACAGATCCCATGCCTCATAGCTTCCACCTGTGTGCCTGATTTCAGGGACATGATTATTTGTAGTAATTAAACATCATATTTTTATTCCGATTACCAGAGAGCATTTTAATAGACAGCCCTTGAGGTCTGTATACAAATCACATCCCCTATTTATAGCTGAAACTCACGGAATAAGCAGTAAATGTAATTTGATAACGTCAGCCCACGCAGTAAAACGAACATCTGGAGCTGCACTGTCACTGGCTTAGGTCAGACAGCTGATGATAATTGCTGCCATGCACAGCACGGAGACACGGCGAAGGAGTAGCAGGTCAGATCAGGGATTTGTCTGACATGTACACAGACGACTCATCATAAATCAATAGTTCTGTCCATTAAATGTCAGAAAGTGGAGGGAAAATATTGATCTGCATGTCCTCAAAAACCTTCACTGTCCTGGTTAGAAAAATGTTTGATTTCCTGTCAGGAAGGACGAAAAAAGAAAGAAGAAGCAGGACAGGAGAAACTGTGAGTGCTTTGCTGTTTGTCAAAATATACAAGACTTAATGAAGACGTTCTGCACTAATTAAGATTAAGGTAGCAGACTGGATGTAATATTAATGATTAAACATCAATTTATTTTTTAACATAGTTTGAAAAATGAACTGCGCCCAAATCTCTCGTTTTAAGATGAGTATCGCAGACAGTGAAAGGCACCAGTATTAACTTGAACTCAAAATTCAGAAAAGAGATTCTGTGATTGTGAATGAATGTGTGAACACACACCATGCCACCACACCGCCTCCATAATCAGACTCAGACACTGAGAATTCAAAATGCCCCGTGGTTTGCAAAGGAGAAAAATTGATCCTTTATTTTGGAGAATCTGTCTGAAAACTTTAATACAAAACACCAAACCCTCACATTTAAGAGGCTTGAAACAACAGGTTTAACTCAACCTGACAGCAAATGACTTCCAAGCGATTTTGTGTCCAGCCCCACCTTGATTAATCGGCTAATCAATTCCGCGTGAGATGGATGAGTAGACTGAGAGTTAGATGGACACACCAAAGGAACGCTGCCAGTAACCTGTATCAAACAGGTCGGCAACTAGTGGAGATCTTTCAACGTCCGTTTTTGCTCTCATTCTTCTCCTATGACCACAGCATGGGAGAGTCCTTTTACTGGAAACATCCAGGTCTGGAGAGACTGATCTGTTGTTAATTTATTTGTCCTGCCGGCAGGGAGGAGGGTGATATAGTGATCTGGAGTATTTAGTTGTGTATCAAAAGCAAGGTACTGCTGGGAGAGCCTTGAGCATGAGTCAGCCTTACTCCTATTCCTCTTGTCTGTTTTACATCGTCTCCTTTTCCCACTAATTTGGCCTCATATGGTACAGCAAATGGCTGCCACATGTGGTAACACGAGACAACTACTGGGAATACAAAAACACCAGAATACATAACATAAAAAAAATCCAAAGTTTGGTTTTGGTAAACAAGGTTCAAGCCCTGGTTGCCTTTCACAACAGCATGGCAACTAGTATTAATCTTCCTCATTTCTGGTCCTGGGGGTGCGGGCACTTTTCTTTCCTCATTTCTTTCCACAGCAAAAGTCTATTCCTATCCCTTCCACCGATACATCACAGTCATGATCTCATCAAAGAAACATGAGGTGTTAGCATTAAATCAGTGTAATAATACCAGCTCTCCTCCTGCTCCCCCATTACACTAAAATTTCATATTTCATGTAATGGGTTGTCCCGTCTTTACTTGACTTTAATGGATTATATCAGTACACCTCTTGCTGGGATGTGGGATGAGGGGAGATTGCAGGAGGCTTTACTTATTTTAAATACAGTTCTCTATTGTGGTGCTTAATCTCAGCTCGGGTTCATTAAAACACCCATGTCATGAGGGTGGGATGACCTAATCATGTGGTAGTGCCGTGTAATGTAATCTACACACATTAGACCTTGTTTCTAATGCTGGCAGAGATACCAGTAAAATGGTTCATATTATGGCAATTTTTATATGCAAATGAAATTGATTTTTTTTTTATCCAGTGAATCCACTAAACTCCATGAAAGTTGCAATTAGCATCAGTTCTGCACTGTAGATGAAATAAATGTGTGGGTCGTCTGATATATTTATAAAATTATTACATCGGTCTAATTAAATGCATTAAAGTACATGTAAACAGGTTAGCAGGCTAAATGCTACTGGGCTAAACCAGTAACACACTGGTTAAAACATGACAACTTTGGTGTTCTCCAAAAAAATCAAATCAAATCTACACAGACAAACTACAAACAGCAAGGTGTGTGTGTGAGAGCACTATAAACATATACCATCTATATCTGCTGTAGTGGAGGGGGCACAGGTGAAACAAATCAGGCAATCAGCAGAGAGGGAGCTCAAAGGAGAGCAGTGTAGGTGATGAAACTGACGAGGAAGAAGCAGAGCAGAGCAGACCCGACCCGACACACACATACATTCTCACACACACTTGTGCATGATTAGCGGCTTCTGGATGTGAGTCACGCTGAAGGAGCCCGGGCATTAAGATTTACTGCCACCGCTCTATATTTAGACGTAGTGGAAGAAGGGTGAAAATTCACATTTCCTTGTTCTCCGGACCAGGGCGGTAGAGAGGGGCCTCTAGTCAGACCACACCTGAGCCAGTCTGCTTTGACTCTGGCCCTGACACTGCTCTCTCTCTCTCACGCCTTTCGTTGGCGGCTGTGTTACAATAAACATGGCCTTAATTCACTTAACTTGAGCTTGACAGGTGGTCTGTGAAAAAACATGGTACCTGGGAAAGGAACTTTATAAAAAAGGAAAATAATTCTGTGGTAAATGTAAAGATTTCGGTCAGCTCTAGTGCCCTGTGGTGCTCAGTGGGAAAGGCTGCTGCTGCTAACACTGAGAAAGCTGCAAAAACCCCAGACTTATTTTGTTCATATTTCACAATTATCAGCAGGCGCTGTCGTTATTAAATTTGGTGTAAAACTAAAGACATTTGTTCCCATTAGTCCTTTCTCTCTTTGTGCGTGTTTGTGTGTTTGTGATTCCTCAGGCGAACTGCTATTACCACGGTGAGGTGGAGGGTCGGGTAAACTCGGACGTCAGCCTCAGTACCTGCGCTGGGATTAGGTAAGTGATGAAGTGAAAAAGAGAAAGCCCAAAGCTTTGTTTATTTAACCCTATTGTGTTATTACAAGCAGTGCAATAAATGATTTGGCCCTTTTGGGGCAGTGCAGAGCAAATAACTCATTATTCAGTGTCTTCATTAAATTAGTCAATTCAGGTCCAGTAGTTTTGAGTCTATTAAGGCTGATGAAACTGAGGCCCTGTCTGTCAAAGTCAAAGTCAAAGTTTATTTGCATCGTTTTAAAATTGTATTTAGTTAGCATGACTTCACATCTCTAGGTTTTTCTTCATTTTTTTTGAAGAAATAATTGACAAAGAAAATATTAAATTCTTTCTTGCCTATTAATCCCAGGGTCATAAGGTCAGGGTACACCCTGGACAGTCATGTAGATGTGTTTGAATGTTTTAGATGAGATGTTTCCATCTGTGCAGGTATTCATTTTTAAATTGAAATTTATGTTAGGTGAGAAAACGATGTTTTTTATGTATATATAAATAAATAAATAATTCAGTGAAGACCTGTCAGGTGATGGAAGTTGTGTGTTTGCAGATGTCCAGCGTGAAAAATGATTACAGTGACATCACTGGACACAATCACGAGTGTTTACACAAACCAGCCAAACCTGATTACACAGCCAGAGAGTGATTCTCCTGATTTTCTTTTAAGCCTTCAGTGTCAAGCTTAAGCTTTACATTTATCCACTTCCCTGTTTCATGAACCCGTCTGCACCAGACGCATACAGAGAATATTTTATTAAAGACCTATATGTTGCTTGGCTTCCCTGGCCAAAGCGAGTATCTTACGGTTTGGGTTGGCAGTGATACTCCTTTTGGGGGAGTTAGCGAGTTTATTAGAGTTCACGAGGTTTCTGTGTGTTGTGCAAGGTTTGTGAGAATCCCAGACTTTGTTCAGACTTAAGGTTGTCACTTTAATCATGAAGGCTTCTTTTAAATCATGTGAAAAGTCCAGAAAGTGGAAAGAATCTAAGAGTTACTGCTACTGTTTTAAGTAGAACGCCTGACATTTGGGAATCCAGCTCAAATTTGAACTGTAGTTATTAATGATTTGGATTATGTTGCTTTTCAGCTTTTGACCCTCCTTCTGTCTCTCTTTAGGGGTTTCATATCTTTTGATAACAAGTCCTACGTACTGGAACCATCACCTGATGACACTGATGGGACTCACTGGATCTACTCGGCCAAACATCTCAGTTTCCCTCCCGGCTCCTGTGGCCATGATTTCAACATCTCTTATCCACGTGAACAAGCAGACAGCAGTCCATTCAGGACCTTCAGTACAAGGGTAAGGATGGTTTAGAAACACCCAAGGTTCTCCTGGCTCTGCCAGAACACAAAATTAATGACTAAATCCCCCAACAGTCTAACCGACATTAACTTGTCACACATTGGGGGAAATAAAAAAAAGCTCTGGCCTAATTAGGGTCAGCTGGCCAACAGTGGCTGGTACTATACTTGGCCTCCCAGATGTGCAGTGGTTATAAAGAGTACAATACACCCTAATGTACTTTCTAGAATTATGACCGAGCTGTTCTACATTGGTCACATCAGACCACAATGCATTCTAAGACGTCTGAGGAAAGTCTTGAGGTGAGGATTATTCTGGATCTAATTCCTGGTACTATTTTTATTTTACCATTTTTATGTAATAATGATTTGTAATGTGTTTGTGTGTCTAATGTTTTTTAAACGTATTATTTGATTTCAACAAATGCACATTGTACAGTGAACAGTTCCTGACATAAAACCTTCACACATATATACTATATATATATATATATATACATGTATACATATATATATATGTATACATCCTAATATACGTTTCAGTAGTACAAATAATATGCACATTGTAAACAAGAACTTTCCTGTGTTTTTATTCAAAGCAGAATGAGTACAAAATTCTCTCTGAGCCTAATCTCTTCTCTGCTCTTGGCTCAGTGTCAGGCTTTTCTTTTTCACTTAAGGAGAAAAAGAAGTTTTTTGGACAGGAATAATTCCCAGGATCCCCAGATTCCCCACACAGACCTGGTAACATCCACCCTGAGAAACCTGATCCCATGTTGATGATGCTGACATTTACATTTGTCCTGAAGGCATCTGGTCTGACTCTATATTGTTCAGATTTCATATCCTAGACCAACTATGCAAATACACATTAATGTGATGATGGCATTAGGTGTTAAAACCTCTGACTGCCAAAATGTGTTCATGTTTTGGTGTTTATCTGTTTGATTGACTGAGAGAAGAGGAGGAGGAGCCAAAGAATGAAGCCCCATGTGTCCCTAAACTACCCCTGAACCTGGGTTTGTGGGATTATCTGTGAACATATTCAGAATTTTCTAGAGCATTCAAATCTGTGCTGTACTTCACTGTTCAGTTTGCACCATTCTTAACACATACGTTTTGCTATTTTAAGAATTTTGTTTCTCCACAGTACTGTAAGCCCCATGTGAGTTTTTTGATAAAGTCCACACTTGGATTTCACTAAGAAAACTTAAGAATATATTTTACCTGGCGATAAATTCTATACCTAAAACCTTTTCGCATGTGTAGCTGGAGAACTTTGAGTGAACCGCAGTGTTTAGTCTTAACAAAAAACACTTTTTTATTAAATATTATTGAAAATAGTGTGAGTTTGCAAAGTAACTGGATCATGGTGAAGTAAAATGTACTATTAATGGCAAACAGAAGCATTTTGACTGATTATAATTGAACTAAAGATTCTCTAATTTCAGTGTTTTTTTTTTTTTTTTGGGGGGGGGGGGGTTGTTTTTGCATCATATCAGACCAGTTGTGTTGAGGTCTGCTTTAAACAGCTGCGCTGTGAAAGCAAGTGAGGACAGAAAACCATTCATCAAGCAGCCAAAGTACTGTAAAAAGAAATCCCACCACATTGTTTTCAAGTGTTATACAGTATTCCCTTCTGCAAACAGCATTTTAAAATTCCTACTGTGCCGTCTGAATGATGGATCATCACAAGACTTTTAAGCGGGATCATTTGTAATGTGGACTTTAGTAAGTGGCCTGTAGGGTCTTTTAGAATAGACTACAAATTGAATTATTTACTCATAGCTCAATCTTCAGCTGACCGTGTCCATTAGAGAGGGTTGGTGTATGGAGATGATAAACTCCACAAAAAGGGACACTGGATGTTAAGTGGCCACACTTTCCCTGAGAGTGAGGTCTAGATCATGCCTGTAGTACTGCCTGTCTAACCAGACTTGAACAAATCCCTTTGCATAGACACCACTTTGACCCACCCCCTGCACTCAGCTACTTACTGCCCCCCAATCATGGGGATACATACTATGGTCAATGGTCCCAGAGAGAGTCCGTCTTCAGAGGAATTAGGCTTTAAAGATGAGTGGTAGGTAGACCAGTGATTCCCAACCACTGTGCTGTGGAAAATTATCCAGTGTGACTTAATAGATCCTTAAACTATTGTTTATTTATCGCAAATATTTTTTCTTTGTTTGTCAATGCATGACAGGCAGACTGTTTAAATCATCTTGTGCTAGTGCTAGGTGGTAGCAGATGGCTATTAAAACTAAAAAAAATAATCAGAGGTGTTGGAGAAGATCTTTGTGTGTCTTTCTTTAATTCCTGCCATTATATCAGCATTGTCTTTATCTAAACAGGCTGAGATTTTAGTCAATGATAAGGTCATTTAAACTAGAAGATTATTAGATTTCATATTTAATTTTTGTGAGATTTTTATTTTGTGGTGTGACGTGGGGTTTATCCTGATGATATATATGTACCGTGGCTCAAAAAAGGTTGGGAAACACAGAGGTCGATGACACACAGAGGTGACGGAACGTGTTGACACGTGTGGTTTATCAGGTCAGCACAATTGGCCAGAGAGACACATGTGACCCAAAAGCAGGTCACATGTGTGATGCATTAAATATGTCTTTATTTGTGCGATAAATACTTCATTGTTGTTACACAGAGATCGAAAGGGTTTTTGGGAGTCGGACCAAACATATGGCTGCCCTAGCAAAGACGCCCTGTCCTTTTTAAAAATGTACATTTTTATCTATTCATGCAGTGATTCCAGTGATGTCTTTGTACTCTCCGGGTCCTGTTGGTGATTACAATGCTGGCGCAGACGGCTGCTATTGTCCTTGGTGTTAGGAGGGTTACGAAGATTCAGCAGAGGGGAACAAATCCTGACAGCAGCACAATGCAGGCGTTAACACCTCAGAGAAATGTGCCGGTTTGACAACAAGACACAAAACCCAATGATTCACACCAATGTGTGCGAAATACGTTTGGTTTATCTGATCACGGCGTTCTTTTGTGTTACGTTTAAAGTACTACACCCTTCCAATCTGAATATATCGAGAGATGTCAGTGTTAGAAGGAAAAGGTTGAGAAAATAAAATGAAGACAGATGTGATTTATTAGGGAGGTGGTCGAACATGGGAATTCCCCAGGCGATTATTAAGCAAAAACAGATAAGAAAGTAAAGAACGTTTGCACAATCATCATTATGACCGAGAGGAACTCCAAATACTGCTGGTGAAATAATGAATTGGGGATTTAACATCTTATTTGAAGGATTTTTGTATGTCGCAATTTTCCCTTTGCTCGATGCAGAGGGGCGTGGAGGTGCTCTGCTGCGGCTTTGATAAGCTGTGTCCTGCCGGAGGGTCTGCTGATAAAGAGGAATGTTGGCACAGTGCCCCAGGATGATGAGAGCCACACTGGGCTGAGAAGGTTACGGAGATATGACGTCTATGTGACAGGAAGTCCACATCGACACCGACACTGCCAGTCACTGTTACATTACTGCTCAAGTTTGTACTGTAAACCAAAGTGCACCGTGCAGTGGTGAATTATGAAGAGAATGGTACAACATGGGGCTGGGTCCACTCTGAAGTGGTCTGTAAGGATTTAAGGACCGCGTTCACTTACTTGGATTTGAGCCTGTAAAGTAAATAGCTTTTGAGCCTCTCCAGTTGTTAGCTCATTGTACGTCGGGAAGGGAAGCTAATTACCCAGCTCCATTTTTCTCCTTTCATCTTCATAGACACCTGAGCCAGGCCCATTAACTTAATGAAGGCTAGAAAAATGGTAAAAGCTCCGAAGCTGCAGACATTCTCTCTCCAAAATCTCTACACAAAAACAGGGATGTTTTGCTTGTTGGAAGGTCACGACACGGTCAGCTCATTTTGCTTTTTGTGTGACATGGCCAAATGCGGTAACTAATGTAGAAGAATGTTATTTTCTGATTTAAATATAGTTACTTTAAATTAATTTAAAACAAAGTTTGAATTAAAAAGACTCCTTTTCACCTTCGAACATGGGGTTTTGAATGTCATATATTGTAAAATATCACAATTTAACTGTGTATTTCTACTGAGCCATTTAAGTGTATTAGATATAAAACAAATCACAGGGTATACTCTGGAGTTTATATCTGTCATTGTTTCCCTTCAAAGACACAGTAGTCACTACTGCAGGGTCAATTACAGCGCACATGCACATCCACACACGGGGTGGGAGGGTTAGGTTCAAAGGTGAGGAAGAGAGAGGCTCTGATGATAATGAGTCACAATGTTGTTTCAGCAGTTTTGTGGTGAGGTGTGAGACCATATGCATGGTCAGCAAATTTGTCTCATAATGACCTTGATTTTAATTTGTCTTCATTTTGAAATACTTCAAGGTCTATCAAATTCCTCAATGCACTACAAATTACTTTCTTACACCTTTGGACATTTCCAGTGAATCCTGGCACAAAATGTATTTTTGAGCAACAAAATATTAATTCAAAATCACTTGCTCTGGCATATCCATGCTGTCGTTCTATGTCCAAGCACAAGTGGGTTTTTAATCATTTAGTGCTGAACAGCTCCTGCTGTCACTTCCAGGTAATGAAAACAGTTCTTGAAATGACATTTTTTTCAAATAAATTATGATATCCAACTGGCACAAAACTGAAGACGTTTATGTTAATAATAATAATAACAATGTCCTTTTTAGTTGAATTTAAGCATAAAATTAACATAAAAAGGTATGAAGTGGTTCTTTTTAAAATATTTTTTATTTATTTTTCAGTCTTAGAGAAGGACTTTGGGATATTGTTGAGCTGGAACCATCTCACTTCTGCATGTACTAGATATGTTTATTTGACACTGGTAGAGTCCCAGTGCTTTTTATGTCACTGAGAGAAATGAGAGAAATGCCAGTGTTTCAAATGTACTGCAGACGTCATACTTCTCCCAGGCAGTGATTTATTAACACATTAAGCTGCTTCCTTCAGTGTCTGTCCATCCTGAAATAGCTGCTCATAGCTTGTTGGTAATTCTCACGTTGGTTTCCCTTTGTTATGTGTGTAATATACAGTAGTTCAGTCAAAAAGCCCTACTGAGTGGCCCACCACTATATATAGACTGCCCTTTGCAGAGAGCTGCCGTTAAGTATGTCCTACTAATGTCCTTCTCTACCTCTCTCCTCCTTCCTCCTCTCTTAAATTTTCAGTTTATAACTACGTCATTTCAATTTCCATTTACCGCTCATTCTTGGCCCTCCGACACTTAATGCCTTCCTTCATTTTTGTACATTGTGTCTCCTTCACCAAATGCCAATGCCTCCCTGTCCGCTGTCTTTCGCAGAACAAACGTCATACCCAGACGACGACCAAGTACGTGGAGCTGATCGTCGTGGCTGATAACAGAGAGGTGAGGAGTGGCCACGCAGCCTCTGTTTCCTGCCGCAGGGTCAGAGGTCACATGATTGATGACCCCCTACACCCTCATGAGGGGCAGATACAGTACTACCCTTGCTGCCCGGTTCCACCTAATGTGTGTCTGCTTACTCATCCATTCCACTGTCCTGCAGCGGCTCTGTCAGCATGACCACTTGACTCACAAATGAGACCTTTTTATTATGCACACTCTGAATCAAAGAAGGAAGAACAAGACATTTTCCCACAGTGCCATGAGGCGTATTAGTCAAAGTCACTTTCCTCTGAGCCTCAGAGACATGAATGAGTGCCGGATGACGGACACGATCTCAGAGGTCATCACTCTTTAACCTAAATTTTATGGAGAAGTTCTGTGTTGACAGCAGCTCCAACTCGCTCAGTTTAAATCTTTCCACGACCTGTACAGTAGCCATATGTTTTTCCAGAACACACTCTGTTGCTAGGTGATATTCCAGAACAGGGATCAACATTTTTCTCTCTCCTGCATGATTGCTGTCTTCAGTTTCAGAAGCAGGGAAAGGACATGGAGAGGGTCAAGCAGCGACTGGCTGAGATCACCAATTACGTGGACAAGGTAACAATCAGCAGGGAGTAAGTGGTGTTGATAAGTGATTGAGTCCAGGTCATATAAGCCAGGTGAGGATTAAGTAACCTGTAAGCCGTGGCTGATTAGCTCATGAAATCATGACCTATTTCATAAAGTCATTTCATGGAAAAGGCTGCAGTATGAATGTAGATCAGCAGAACAGAGGCACAAAGACATGTTGTCTCTATCCCTCTCCTTTCCATCCCTCAGTTCTACAGGGCACTGAATATCAGGGTGGCACTGGTGGGTTTGGAGGTGTGGAGTGACGTGGATAAGTGTCCCATCACCCAGGACCCTTTCACCACCCTGCATGAGTTCCTGGACTGGAGGAAGGTCAAGCTGCTGCCCCAGAAGCCACATGACAATGCCCAGCTGATCAGGTAATGTTTATCCCATTTTTGCAGTGGGCTTGTGTAACTAGAGTGAAAACACGCTGGTGGCTTCATGATCATGTACTAAACTGTGTTTGTCCATTTTTCAGTGGGGTGTATTTCCAGGGCACCACCATTGGTATGGCACCCATCATGAGCATGTGCACAGCAGACCAGTCAGGAGGAATCGTCATGGTGAGTTACAGCTCGACTGCTGCCTCTCCTTTGCCTTTTCTAAGTCGTCTCCACGTGATAAAAATACTAAAATATACATTACCTCGGTTATGAGGTTGACTCCTACAAAAAAGTTGAGCTTTATCATTTCGTATTTCTCCCCCTTTTCCTGCCCTCTACTCCTTACCTTGTTCTCCACCTCCCTCCAGTTTGATATAACGCTCTCATATGTCCCTACAGCTCTCTTGTGTATGGGTTGAGCTGAGGATTTCAGGCTTGATATAAACTGATATTAACTTTAGAGGACACACATCATTGGGTCCTTT